CCTGAGCCACCTGCAGCACGACGGGCTGGGACCCTGCCTCAAAGCCTGTCCCACATGCAGGGGTCACTGGGCGGTGGCGAGGGACTCTTCTATCCGTTCACCCCCTCCTCCCACCAGGTGACTCAAGGAGCTGACGGTCTGATGGGGGCCGGGAAACACAAAGAAACCATGTCACGGGCCTGGACCAAGAGTGGGGTGGCCAGGGGCAGAGGGGCCTCAGAGGAAAGAGGGGAACGTGGTGGAAGGGTAGGAAGGCTTCCTGCAGGAGGCAGCATTTAAGCTGGTATATAACGATAGGAGGCCTTGAGCGCTCTGAGAGGGAGCAGGGAAGGCATCTGTAGCAGGGTCTCTGCGCGGAGAGAGGTCACTTAGCAGAGGCACCTTATCTCTCAGGGTTAGGTCAGCCCCAGCGATGAGAAGCATCTCCGCTATGTCCTGCCAGGCGTTCTCGGCGGCGAGGTGGAGGGGCGTCTGCTGCCTCTGGGGAGGAAAGCAGGGGGCAGGTGAGCAGAAAAGCAGGTAGGGGAGGCCCGCAGCACAAAGCCAGGACAAGACTAGCTGGGACACTCCCAGCGGGGCCTTGGCGAAGTTTCTGTGAGGCCTATGGGAGGACAGGGCAGAGGCTGAACTGGGTTTAATGTAAATGTCACATTCACCCTTGGAGGTGGCAAAAACAAGAAGTGGAAAGAAGGAAAACACCCTACTCGCCGTCATAGCCCACCACCCGAAGGCCACCCCTGTACAGACCTTGCATTCTTCTTCTTGACCTCAGCCCTGCCCTGCCCTGCCCTGCCCGGGTGGGACCCAGGGGCCTCCTGGAGCCCAGGAGTTTCTGTAGCCACTCACATGGTCGGTGGCATCCAAGTCACAGCCGGCGTCAATGAGGAGCTGGACCAGCCCAGGGAAGTTGTGCTGCACGGCCAGGTGCACAGGAGTGGCGCCCTGCTGTGGGGAGACGCCAGGTCATCCGCGTCCCGGGAGGGACTGCCCAGCTGCAGGCTGGGGCTGGGGCGGCAGAGGGAGGGCACAGGGCCTCTAGTCTGGCCCTTCTAGCTTCTTTTGTTTGTTTATGTGATCAGGCACAAGCACTGGCCAGAGTGAGCGACTGAGAGAGAGGGAAGGGAAAGTGAGAAATCACCCCCGGGGGGATGGCCACGCCACGGCCTCTTCTCCTCCATTCTCCTCTAGGAATTTTGGGCACACACACACATGCACCCAGTGTGATTTTCAAGCCACCACGTCTTAGACCCCAACCATGCAGTCAAGCATGTGGGATCCAGAACCTTAACATCCACACCGCGCGGTGGCCCCAGCCCTCCTAGCTGTTTAAATGAGTGGCCGTGGGGCCAGCAGGTGGCGTGGTGGTTGAGGTGCTGGACTCCCACTCCCACATGGCTGACCGTGGCTCAAGTCCTGGACCTGGCGACTTGCTTTCTCACTTTCCCTCTTTCTCTCTGTTTCTCTCTGGTCAAATTAAATAATAATGAAATACAATTAAATAAAATAATTATGTTTAAATAATATTAAAGAGTGGCCTGAGGCATTTTCAGGCCCAAAGCCTGAATTCCTAGAGCTCACAACTGATCCTCGAAGTGGGTGGGGGTCTGTGAGACTGCCGTGCTAGGGACTCGCTATGTGACCCTGGGCAAGTCATTTCCCTGCTCTGCCGTTCGCCTTCCTAGACCCCTTCCAGCAACTGCACCCTCAGATTTTCGATAACCTCATTGACACACATTGACCTAGAGGTCTACAGGAATGAGATTCGAGTTAGCATCTTCATCTCCCAGTGGAAACGGTGAGGCTTAGAACGCTGGAGTGACTCGCCCAAGGACACACAGCTAAGAGGGACTGTGTAGACACCACCTTCCCACACCCCTCAGCACCTACGCAGGTGTTTAATGAAACAAACGAATAAGAAAGCCCGCCAGGACCAGAATAGAGATCTCATTCCGAGGCCGGAAGACACCATCCCCAAAGTCCCCCACGGCCCTCTGACTAAATGACCCTACAGCATCCCCTGTCTCGGTGACATGGTGACACACGGACATGGGACAGTGCAAGACGAAGGCGATGGATGGCAGAGGTGGTACTCATTGTGGAAGAACAGCCTCATGCGTTGAGCATCGAAAGCTTAGAACGCAGCACAGAGCAAGCACGCCCACTGCTGCCAGGACTAGTTCAGGCCGGGGAAAGGAAAAGTTCATCAATAATTGAAAAGATTGTGAGGTCAGCCTGTGGCATGACGGTTAAGGGACAGGACTCCCACATGGCCAACTGCAGTTCAAGTCCCAAACCTGGTGGGTTACTTTCTCATTTTCTCCCTCTGTCTCTCTCTATCTCTCTGTCTCTCTGATAAGCACATCTGCCTTAGGGAGCTGGACTCCTACATAGCTGACCGTGGTTTGAGTCCCAGGCCTGGTGGCTCACTTTCTCACTTTCTCTCTCTGTCTCTCTCTGGTGAGCACACATGCCCTATAGCAAATTTAAAATAGTGCTATTAATAATAATAAAATTAAATAATAATTTTTTAAAAAAGAAAGAAAAGATTTTAACACCAGTGGGCCAGCAGGTGGTGTGGTGTGAAAGTGAAGGTGGCCAGACCCCACATAGCCAACCACACAGTTCAAATTCCAGACTCGGCGGCTTGAGAGTCACGCCAAGTGTGCGTGAGCACGTGCCCAAAGTCCCGAGGAGGCTGGAGGAGAAGGGCTTACGTGGCCATCACCCCGGCGGGTGATTTCTTGCTTTCCTTCTCTCTCTGGCGAGCACACATGCCCTATAGCAAAACCAAAACAAAAAAAGGAACAAGATTATATTGTTCCTGCTGTATACCAAACAAGAAAAAAAAAAAAAAACGAGGCTCACCCAGTAATACATTATAAAAGATGACTAGAGGCTCATGAATGAATGGAGCCGAGAGGTCATTCAGGGGGAGGAACTGCAAGCTTGGTTTCTACTCCTATCCCAGACTGCCCGAATGCCCTGTCCCCCGCCCCACCCCAAGGACCTGAAGTGCCAGTTCCTCCTCCTGCACTTCCCTCGTGTGGTTGCGGAAGACATTGCTGTGGCTCTCCTTTCGTCGCAGGCCCCCACACTTACGTGATCGGCCATGTTGGTGCAGCATCCTGCACGGATAAGCGCTCGGGCCACGTGCTCGGAGCCGCGGAGGGCCGCGTAGTGGAGGCAGCTCAACTTCTTCTGGAGGGAAGCAGCATCGGTGCAGCGTCACAAGCCTGCACCGCGGGGTTGCTGGGATCCAGAATTCCATGTAGTCTCACAACCCCGGGACCATTATCCCCAGGAGACCCCGAGGCTACAGAAACCAATGACACCCTGGCAAGATGGAGGCTGGCCCCGGAGCTATGTGACTGACCACAGTTCAAATCCTAGCCCCGGTGCCTTGAAAACATGCCAGGAGTATGTGCGCGCATGCCCATAATCCTGACGGGATGGAGAGATGGAGAGATGGAGAAGGGATTGTGACGTGACCATAACCCATTGTGGGGTCCTTTGGCCCTCTCTCTGTCTCTGTCTCTAGCAAGCACACGTGCCCCTGGCAATTAAATTGGAAAGTAGGGCCAGGCAGTGGCTCAGTGGTGAAAGCAACTGAACCCACATGGGAAGGATCTGGGTTCACATCCCAGCATCTCTGAGGACACTGGGGGTGGGCTGGTCAGCCTGGGGGTGGGCCACAGCATGAAGACCCTGTTGGGGTGCCTGTCTCTGTTTTCCTCACCTGTGGAAGAAGTAAATACACTTACAAATAAAAAAATAAAAATAAAAAAGCAAAACAAGAATGCTAACTCCCTACCCAATGCGTGGCCTTCCCAAGGAGAGGCCACAGTCCCTTTCTAGGTCTCAGAGGAGGATTCGCGCTGGCGGAACTAAGAGTCCACAGTGAGGGAGAGGAGGCTGTGGTGGCCACAGCGCAGGAGGGTGACCCTGTCAGAGGACACCCCAGCAGGGGCAGGAGCTCTGGAGCCAGGGGAACCAGCCTGTACTCTAATTTTTCCTTCTTCCTTTTGAGAGAGAGATGTTTTACTACAGTGGGTGTGTGCCTGCCAGAGAGACAGACAGAAAGCAAGAAAGCACCCACTGGGGGAATGGTCATGCCGTAATCCCTTCTCCTCCACTCTCCTCCTGGGACCTTAGGCACACACACACATGCTTAGGCACACCAGGTCCAGGCCTTGAACTGCAGTAGGCCATGTGGGAGTCCGGCGCCTTAACCACCATGCCACCTGTTGGCCCTTTGGCTTTGCTCCATACCAGTTTGTGGCCCTGAGAAAACTTCAGTTTTCTCATCTGTAAAGTGGGTAGTTTCTCTGCGGTAGTGGTTACAGTGGGGTGTTGGGAGCTATTAGGAGCCCAACAATAAAAAGACACTCACAGGTGTCAAGCAGCCATCCTGTTCTGGACACGGCACTGACCCTCACAGCACTGGAAAAAAGGAAGTGTGTGTTAGGGCCAACCCCAGAACCTAGGGCTTAGGGAGCCAGGTCCCACGTGGCTGACCGTGCAGTTCACAGCCTGGAGCACAGGGCGCATGTGCGTGCCCCAGATCCCGACAGGCTGGAAACATGGAGGAGGAGGGGTAATGCCATAATCATGCCCCGCTGTAGGTGCTTCCCCCTCTCCCTTCTCTCTGCGGTGAGCGCGTGTGCCATCTGGCAGATTTTAAATACATATAGTGCCCAGCAGGCTCTGTGGCTAGGGCGCTGGACTCCCACACGGTTGACCACAGTTTGAGTCTCAGACCCAGTGACTTGAAAAATCATATCAGGCACATATATGTGCTTTTACCCAAGATCCCAGGAGGAAAAAGGAAGAGAAGGGATTGCAGCATGGTGGCCTTCCTCCCCGGGTGATTTCTCACTTTCCTTCTCACTGTCACACACTCTCTCTCCCTCTCTTTCTCTCTCTCTCTCTCTCTCTCATGAGCACATGCGCCCTATGGCAAAAACCTCGAAAACACACACACACACACACACACACACACACGTCCGTTTTAGTTGGGAAATGAGGCTCAGAGAAGGCAAGTAACTTGCTGGGGCACAGGGCCCACAGTGCAGAGGCAGGACCAGAGCCCGGCCTGGCCCCAGGCTTCTGCTCACACAGTTCAGGAATCTCGGTGGCTGTGACTGCTGACACACCTAGGGCTCAGCAAGGACGGGTGGCACCTCGGGAGGCCCGGCTACCTGGGTGAGGGCGTTCACGTCGCTCCCGGCCCCGAGGAGGAGTTGCACGCAGTCGGGGTGGCTCCCTTCAGCAGCCATGTGCAGGGCAGTCAGTCCTTCCTGAAACACACAGGGACAGACGCGACAGGGTGGGAGGCTGAGGCTGAACCCAGGGGAGAGGGCGGCCCTGGGCCCCAGCTCAGGCGCCCTTGAGCTCTCCAGGCCCTGCTCCCCAGGACAGTGCGTCGGCCCTTGGCCCTCGGTGGACCGGACCCTGCTTCTGCCATGCTCCTCCCTCTGCGGACCACACACAGCACGCGTCTGCTCACGTCCTCCTGACCCTTCCGCCATCTGAGCCCCTGCCCTCCATCTGTCCCCTCATACTCCAGCCAGCGTGAGTCTGACAACTCGGCCTCCTGGCCCAGGGCCTATACCGGGGAAATCAGACTGTACCAGGGGCTGGGGGCGCCTCGAGGCAGGGAGGGGGCCCCCACCAGCAATCTGCACACCCACCTCCCAGCGGCGACTCACCCTGTTCTGCTCCTCCAGGTCCAGCCCGATGTCGGCGAGTCGCTGTAGCACAGCCACGTGGCCCCGGCTAGCAGCCAGGTGGAGGGCCGTGTTTCCCTCCTGGAGGGGCCAGCAAACAAGGGCGACCTGTCAGACCCTCCAAGGCCCCTGGGACCTGATGGAGTGGCCCGCATTTACAGGCACAGAAGCTGAGGTCCAGAGAGGGGAAGCACATGCCCAGCGTCACAGAGCAAGTCTGTAAAGAGCTGCAGCCCTGCAGGCCAGCCCGCTGCCTCCCTGCCCCCGGGAACCGTGGCCAGCACTCCAACCAGGCGCACCTGCGAGTCTGTCCTCTCATATTTGACGCAGACACACTGCTTTAAAAATGAAACTAAACCTGGGCGGGTGGTTGAGGGAGCCAGATCCTGCATGGCTGACTGCATGAATCCTGGCACTGGCAGTTCAAATCCCAGCCCTAGCAGTTTGAAAAACCCACCAGATGCGCGTGTGTGCACACCCAAAATCCCAACAAGAAACAGACGAGGGTGGCAGCGTGACCACGCCCCATGGGGTACTTTTCCCTCTCTCCTCTGTCTCTCCACATGGGGTACTTTTCCCTCTCTCCTCTGTCTCTCCACATGGGGTACTTTTCCCTCTCTCCTCTGTCTCTC